GAGGGAGATGAAGAGGAGGAGGAGCAGGAGGAAGAAGAGGAGGAGGGAGGAAGAAAAGAGGGAGGGGAAGGAGAAAGGAGGAAAGAGGAAGAAGGATAGAGGAAGGAGGGAGGAAGGAAGAAAGAGCAAGGATGAAGGATGAAAAATGATGGAGGAAGGAAGAAGGAGGAAGGATGAAGGAGAAAAGTGGAAGGAGGAAGGAGGACTGAGTAAGGAGGAAGGAGAAAGGCGGAAAGAGGAAGGAGGAAGGAGGAAGGAGTAAAAAGGAAGGAGGAAGGAGGGAGGAGGAAGGAGGGAGGAGGAAGGAGGAAGGAGAAAAGAGGAAGGAGAAAGGAGAAAGATGGAAGCAGGAAGGAGGAAGGAGGAAAGAGGGAAGGGGAAGAAAGAAAAACGACGGAGGAAGGCGGAAGGATGATGGAATGAATGAGGAAAGAAGCAGGAGGAAGGAAGGACAGGGCGAGGAGGGAGCAGGAAGGACAGAGGACTGAGGAGTGAGGAGGAAGGAGGGCGGAGGAAGGACCAAGGAAAAAGGAGAAACGAAGAGGAGGAGGAGGAAGGAGGAAGGAAGGAGGGAAACACGGAGGGAGCTGAGGTAACCAGCCTGCCCAACGGCGGCCGCTGCTGGTTTTGGACCACACTCTTCCGTTCGGATCTCGTGCCCGTTCAGTTGCGCACCAAGTTCGGGCAGGCCAACTCGCCCGGATCTCGCTCCACTCCTCTGCCCAGAACTCCAACGCACTAAACCAAAACATCCGGGGGGAGGAGGAGGAGGAGGAGGAGGAGGAGGAGGAGGAGGAGGAGGAGGAGGAGGAAGAGGAGGAGGAGGAGGGGGAGGAGGAATCCTCCTCCTCCTCTCGCTCCACTCCTCGCTCCACTCCTTCTCGCTCTCTCTCTCTCTCTCTCTCTTCGGCCTCCGGGGAGCCCTCTCGCCGGGCCCCGCCGGCCGACGAAAACCTGTTCGGGATGGAAGGGGCCGCCCCCCGGGCAGAGATCGAGACTTCCCAGGGGCAGACCCCTTCCCAGTGACTTCGGACTCGGGGCGGTCTTGGGGGGCGTCGTCGGCCGTCGTGGAGCGTCGGAAGTTCGAAAGCGCGAGGAAGCGAAAAGCAGATACAAACAGATGGAAATCGAGGAGCTGGTCGCCTCCTTCCCCCCATCTTTGCGCACTGGACAGGAGGGGTACCTTGTGGGTCGCGTCGGAGTACGCAGAGCCCTTGTCGTTTGACTGCATGATCTGCTCCCAGATGGACCACGAGTAACGCAAGGGCAGGTCCTTCTTCAGCATCTCCTCGTTCTCCTCCGCATTGTCCGTCGTGAACTTCAGGTTGGAGTTGAAGCTATCATTGAAACTCAAGTACGCCATGGCTCCCTGTGGGGCAGGTGCTGAGCGGCAGCTGTTCTTTCGGCAGGGAGGATGCTCACAACAGCTGTGTTTGCTGACAGCCTGGACCAAAATGGCTCATCGATGAGCAGGCCCAGGAGGATCAGCAGCAGCGTCGACGCGCATAGGAGGGAGCACCGCTCTCGCCAGCCTCCGCACCATCGTGCTCCCCCTCCTGATCCTTCTCTCCCCGCCTCTTGTTCCTCTCCAGACATCCGACGACGATATGTTGTCAAATCCTGGTGTCCTCTCCCAATGTCGAACTCGGTCAACGGGATCGGCGCCCAAGAATATGAGCATTGGGTGCAGCACGCTCTAACGTCAACGGGAGTACCGCTGTGCGCATGGGAGTGCGACGCTTGACCTTGTTGTAATTAAACTGCTCAAGCATACATACACACATATCTATACATACATATGTGTGTACAACTCTTTGAATTGTGGATGTGCATACAGATGTATAAATAGTTGCAAATACGTCCATCTACGTATATATGTGTGTGCTTGTATACAATACGAATACATGTACCTGTAAATAGTTATACACATATATATACACAAATACACATACAAAAACGTGTATATACACATATATATATACATGTACATCGACATGTGCATATATATGTACATATAATTATACAAATGCAAATACACATACACTTATAAATAATGTACATATACAAATACATATACATACACATATACATATACATAGACAAATACATATACATGTACATTACATATACATATGTGTAAGCATATACATATACATATACATGTACATATACATATACCTATATATACATACATATAAATGCATACATATACATGCACATGTACATATACACAGACATATACATATACATATACAAAAGCATATACAAGTACATATATACATATATATACGAACCTATACATATACCAATACATATGTAACTGTATACATACATATATAGATAGGACCATTAGAACTATCGCGCGCTTCGCGCGCGCTCAAACTCTAGCTCGGCTTGATCGGCTATCTCATGTAATACCATGTTGGTCGCTTCTTGCGTGCAGGGAAACCCTTGGAGGCCCTGCGCAAGCTTCGGAATCGTATAGGAGGGGAACTGCGGAAACGCAGACATCATCAATTTCCTTTCAAGGTTTTCAACGATGTGGGGCCCTCAAAGGCATCCTGGGTCATTTTTGGAAGGTGAGGGGGGTCTGAATTGTGGTCTGTTGTGCAAGAGCAGACCGGGGGCCAAACTTGAACAAAAAAGTGGGATTTCCATTTTGTGTTCCAGTTCCTCGGCGCTGTACGGCGCTGTTTTTTGTTTGTGACTCGCGGGTTTTGTTAGCCGGGCCACTCGGGGGTATGGGATCTCCCCGACCCCCTGGAGGTTCTGGAGGCCTCCTGGAAGCCTGGAGAGCCGTCGGAAGGGTGTCTCGGGCTGCGCGGGAGCGTGTTGGGCCGTTCTTTACGTTCTGGGGGCTCCTTGGGGTCGTCTTGGGCTGTCCTTGGGCGTCTTGGGGACCCCCCGGGAAGCCGGGAGGCGCGGTACCAGCCAGATGTCAGGGTATGAGTGGGATCTCAGAGTAGGAGTCCCACTTTGAAAAAAGGGGATTCTGGGAATTCCATTTTTTCAACAACAACAAAAACAAAAACAAAAAAAAAACTTAACGGGAAAACGTGAGAAGGCGAAAAACATTAGGAAAACCATTGGGAATCAACGATTTTACCCTCTTTGGGCCCTCTCGGGACGGCTCTTGGGCTGTTCTTGGAGCCTCGCCGGGGTCTTTTTGGGGCCTATCAGGGATCGGGGGGGTGTTGGGCGCCTGCGGGAGGTCCTGGAGGCCTCTCGGAGGTCTCTGGAAGCCTCCTGCCCCCGCTCTTGGGCCCATCTTGGGCCTGTTCTGGGGTGGTCTTGTCCTGGGCGCCTCTTCGGCAGCCTTGGAGCCTTCTTGACCCGTCTTGGGGCTCTCCTGAGGGTCTCTTGGGTGGTCTTGGGGCGGTCTTAGGAGCCTCTTCGGCGCTCTTGGACCAATGGAAGCTCGAAAACGCGAGAAGCCAAAAACAGTTGAAACAAAAAAAAAAAAAAAAAAATCTACGAGTTTGGCCTCTTCGGGCCATCCCGGGAGGTCTCTCGGACCTCTCTTGGGGTCTCTTGGAGGCCACCTGGGAGCCTTGAGAGCCGTCCGCAGGCTGATTTGCGCATTCAGGGGGTTCCTGGGAGGCGTCTTGGGCCCTCCTGGGGCGCTGTGGAAGCTCCCCGGAAAGGCCAGGGGAGCAGTACTGGGAGCGTCCACGAGATGTCACGGAGAGGTGTGGGACCCAGGGCCGAGGGGGGCGGCATTTATTTATCTGACATATACATATACAGATACGTATACGTATACATATGCATAGACATAGACATAGGCATAGACAGATGCGTATGCATATGCATATGCATATACATATACATTTGCATATACAAATACATATACATAGACCTATACATATACATATACATAGACATATACATATACATATACATATACTATGCAAATACGTATACATATACATATACATATACATATACACATACATATACATATAAATATACTTATACATGTACATATACATGAACATGTACATGCACATGTACATATAAATATACATCTACATATACATATACATATACATATACATATACATATACATATACATATACATATACATATATGTATACATATACATATACATATACATATACATATACATATACATGTGCATACACATATACATATACCTATTCATATACATGTACATGCACACTTACAAATCTGTATACACATACATCCACATATACATATACATATACATATACATATACATATCCAGATGCATATACATATACATATACATACTCGTATACATGTACATACACATATACATAAACGTATGCATATATATATATATACACAAATACATATACATATACATATACATATACATATGCATACACATATACATATACATATACCTATCCATGTACATCTACATAGACATATACATATGTGTACATATATGTATGTATATATACATATACATATACATATACATATACATATGAATATACCTATACATATACATATACATATACATATACGTATACGTATACTGTACATATACATCTACATATACGTATACATACACATATACATATACATATACAAATGCATAGACATATACATATTCATATACCTATACATATGCCTAAACAAATACAAATACAAATACCTATACATATACATATACATATACATATACATGTACATGTACATGTACTTATACATATACATATACATATACCTAAACATATACGTCTACATGTACATCTACATCTACATCTACATTTACATCTACATTTTCATATACATATACACATACATATACGTAACATCTACATATACATGTACATAACAATATACATATACATGTGCATATACGTAAACAAATATATACACACGTATACATACATATACATATACATATATACATACACAGACATATGCAAACACATATACATATACATCTTCATATAGATATACATATACATATGCATACACATACACAAATAAGTATACAAGTAACTGTATATATACATATATATGTACACATATGCGTAAACATATGCATACATATATATACACACATACCTATGCATATACCTATACATATACATTTATATGTACATGTACAAATACATATACATAAACATAAACATCGATGTAACATTCACATATACATATACATGTACATGTGCATGTGCATATACATATACGTATACATATACATATCGGAGGTTGGGGTGTGAGATCGAAGTGGAACGGAGAGCCCCCCACAAATCGATTTCGGTTTCGGGTTCGTGCGTGCCGTGCGTGCGGGCGAGGCGAAGCTGCGTGGGCGGTTGAAAGGAAAGTCTCCTGTGGCTGAGGCGCGGCTGGACCAAATGATTTTCCCTCCAGCAAGCGGTGGCGCGCGGTGTCCCGCCGGTGTCCCGCCGGTGTCCCGCTTGTGGCTGGGCCCCGGCCGGACCACATGATTCTCCCTCCAGCAAGCGGTGGCGCGCGGTGTCCCGCCGGTGTCCCGCCGGTGGGTGTCCCGCCGGTGTCCCGCCGGTGTCCCGGTGTCCCGCTGCTGAGAAAACGATAGTGAGACCGAAGACGAAATCGATTGTGAGATCGATAGTGAGATCGATAGTGAGACCCATCGAGTGAGACCGATCGAGTGAGATCGATCACACGATCGATCTCACTCGATCGGTTGTGAGACCGATGACGAAATCGATTGTGAGATCGATACTGAGACAGATAGTGAGACCGATAGTGAGATCGATCGTGAGATCGATAGTGGGATCGATCGTGAGATGAATCGTGATATCGATTGTGAGTTCGAATGATATCGATAGGGAGATCGTTAGTGGGATCGATAGCGAGATCCAGAGTGAGATCGACAATGAACTCGATCGAGTGCGATCGATAGTGAGATCGATCGAGTGAGATCGATAATGGGATCGATGGTCCCATCGATCGTGAGACCGATAACGACATCGCTTGTGAGATCGATAGAGAGATCGATAGTGAGATCGATCGTGAGATCGATCGTGAGACCGATAACGACATCGCTTGTGAGATCGATAGAGAGATTGATCGTGAGATCGATTGAGTGGGATCGATAGTGAGATCGATTGTGAAAGCGATAGTGGGGTCCATTGTGAGATCGATTGGGTGAGACGTTGGGTCCTCCCCCCCTTCAACTCTCTTACCATCCAGGGATTTCGGCTCAAGGCTTCTGTTGCACTCGGCACGCGGGGGGGGCCGCGAACGGCCGCGCGGTGCCGGAAAAGCAGCAAGCGTGCGCCACCCCCGAAAGGCTCCCAAGAGGCACCCAAGAGGCCCCCAAGAGCCCCCCAAGAGGCCTCCAAGACCCCCAAGAGGTCCAAATGACGCGC